GTTCCCTGCACCACCCTGCCGCTGTCCCTGTCCCTGTGCAGTGCCCAGCTCCCCAGGGCACCTGGGGACACAGCAGTGCTTTAGGGGTGCCCTGAACCTCAGGCATCCACCTCGGCCCTTTATCCCCTGACACTGCTGTGCCCCCCAGGTGGGAGATGGGGAGCCTGAGCTGGGTGCTGCCGACAGCTGGATTGGCGTGGTGCCTGTGGGCGAGGAGCCAGCCGAGGTCTCGCGGGGAGCCAAGGAGGAGTCCTTCACCGCCGCCGTTGTCAGCAAGGTGACTGTCCGCCTGGCTCAGGGGCTGCAGTGGCGTTTGCTGGTCACAAGCCCTCGCAAGATGTGGGGGTGTCCTGGCCTTGTGCTTGGCGGCAGAGGGGTCCCTGACAGGACTCCTGGGCAGTGCCAGCCCCTCTGGGGTCCCTGGTGATGCTTCAGCCAGGGTAAAGAGGCACCAGGTGCTGCCACCTCCCTGCAGTGGGATGGGAGCTGAACAGGGGCACAGCTCCTGCCCGTCCTGCCCTCTGAGCCTGTGCCCTCTGTCCCTGCAGATGAAGCGAGCCCTGGTGCTGGGGGCATCAGCCCTGCTCATCCTGGCGCTGAACCAGAACGCCATCCGGGAGGTAGGAGAGTCTCGGCGGCGGGTACCTGAGACAGTCTCGTGCCCCACTACTGATGGCTGTTGCTTTCCTCTCTGGTGCAGCTGGACGTTTCCCAGCTTCTTGCCAAGCCCGTGATCGTGATCCAGTCCTCGGACAATGTCACCAAGCTGCTGGGAGCGCTGCTGCGGTACGGGCTGGGGTGGTGGCAGCGGCTGGGCGAGAGCCATAGCACTGCGTGTGGTCCCTGCCTGGCTGCGACAGCTGGGGGCTGCCAGACTCGCGCTGTGTGAGACCAGCTGGGGCTGGGACGTGTGTTTCCAGCGAGATGTGAGTCAGATTCGCTCCTTCCGCAGGGCACGAGCCCTTCCATGGGTCCCCACGCAGCGGCAGAAGCTGGCAGTGGGCTTGGCCAAGCGCTTTAGGACTGGCAGTACAAATTAGCCAGCCTGGTTATCATGGTTGTCATGACACCAGCGTCCTCACCACCTTTGCCAGTGTTTGTCCCCACCGCCCACAGCCTTGAAAGCCTCCTGGTCTTCCCTCCAGGTGGTGTATCAGTATTGCTGCTGTGATGTTGCGGATGGGGAAACTGAGGCATGGTGCTGAGAGGAATAGAGCGGCACAGGGTCACGCAGAGGGCTGGGCATGGCTGGGAAGGGGGGATGTTCACTGTCACCTCTCCTGTGGGTTCCTCCTTCCTTGGTGGCCCCCCTCGCCCACTGCTCAGCATGGGCTGCCTGTCCCCAGCAGGAAGGGGGAGCGCTCTGGCACTGGGGTGCTGCGGGCTGGATCCTGCTGTGCCCATGGGATTGACACCCCTTTCACTTTTTGCTCACAGGGGCCTCCGGGCTACAGCGAAAATCACGTACCAGGCGGTGCTGCTGGAGAACCTGGTATGTAGGTCCTCGCCTTCCTCCTCCTCCTTCTCTCTCTCCTGATGGAAGGGCAGGGGCATGGCTGAGCCCAACCAAACCTCCCCGACCGCTGGGGAAGCTGAGCTACAGGGAGCAGGAGCCACATTCCCGAAGCCTGTTGAACCTGCTGGTGCCTCGGTTTCCCCAGAGACTCGCTCTGTGGGAGTGGGGCAGCTGCCTGCAATTCCTTCTCCCCTCAACACGTGCGATTGGCCTCGGGCAGCGCCAGCAGCCGCCGCGGCTGTCGGCAATGCCATCTCCTGCCTTGCAGGGAGTGACCCTCACCCTGTGGTCAACCTGCGGCCTCTCCCGAGGAGGCCTCTATGGGGAGTGGCAGGGGGTGATCTGCACGGGGGAGAACAGCTCGCAGGTCCAGGTATGTGTGCCGGCGCTGGCGAGGGCTGCCCACGTAGCCAGGGGTGCCTGGCACAGGGACAGTGGCCATGGTGGGGCTGGGAGCAGAGGGGGGGTCTCCGGTTCACCCACCTGCTCCGGTCCCTGACCACCCAGCGGCACTGTTCCTGCAGAAGTACCTCCAGCAGCTGTGGAACACCATCCTGCTGATCGCCCTGCTCCTCTGCACCGGGGTGATCGTGCAGGCCCAGCGGCAGTCACGGCAAGACCTGTCGGAGCAGGATGCCGAGGTGGGAACGTCTCCGCTCTGCTCCTCACCTGGGAGACCCGCGGCTGGGCTCTCCAGAGCCGGGTCTGCGAGATCGATAGCTGTGCTGTCTGCTTGGACCAGTTCCACAAGAGCCAGGTAGGGATTGGGGGGACTGGTGCTGCACCGGGCGGCCTGGAGCTCATCCTGGCCACCGCTTGGTACCACCCATGCTCATGCCACCCCTTTGTTACCCGAGGCTGAGCCTTCCCTCACTGGCTGGGGCCGGGGTGTCCCCACCAGGGAGCTGCGTGGCGGAGGGTGCTCCCCCTCCCTCGGGCAGCGTGATGGTGGCAGGGCTGCGGCTCTG